AGCTAAAGCTGTACCAACAAACTGCACCAGGCCTACAGCAATGGAGACGAGCTTTCCATCTTTAAATCCTGCCTCTGCAAAGATGTGGGCAGCATTAAAGAGAACTGCATTGACTCCACAAAATTGTTGAAACACCATTAACCCAAGACTAATTATCAAAGGTTTAGCTATCACTGGTGACAGCCAGTCTTGTAACTTTAGCGTCTCTTGCCGCTCTATCCAAGAAAAATTATTACAAATAGCATGTTAGTACAAACATATGTACCTTTAGCAACAATAGGCTCATGAAGCCTTTTGATGAGTACATTCTATACCCGATTGCACTGATGAAAGCAGGGGTACTAGAATTCAAATTAAACAGATTGCTTTTTTATCAAAAATGTTTTGGATTTTGTGAAAGTGTGACAGTTTCTGATCTCATTTTCATTGTGTTGTCAAACCACTAAAATGTATCCTCTGATTCTAAGGTTAGAAAAAGGTTGCCAGCCACATCAACAAAAATTCCTTTAATGTAAAACCTTTGGGAAAACTTCCTTAACTTTTTAACCGCCTCCCGTTAGCTCATTGGATAGAGCGCTGGACTGTAGTGCGGGAGTTCGAGGGTTCGAGCCCCGGCCAGACCAACACTTGAGGTCTTAAAATAATTGAGAAGAATTTGCTACCTTTCTATAACATCAAGAAATGGTTAGATATTCTAGTCTTCTCGGATAGGGACGAATAAATGGAGGTCCCGTCTCCTGCAAGGTTGGGGCAGGAGACGTTAATTTCCCACACACAAGATTACTGTGTGATGGATGTCCTCCCCTGGGGTGGGATGGGTGGGTTAGGACAGCAGGTCCACATCAGCTATTACAGCTGCCAATTAATCAACTTGCTTAAACAAATAAATGAACTTGAACTTGAACTCCCATGAGTGACCACAACCAGGTACATTGAGTTGTGTTCTTGGGCAGAACACTTTACTCTTACAATGTCTCTCCTCACCCTGATGTTTAAAGACACCACGGAAATGACAGAGCTGAATAATGAAATGCATATTTTCCAACTTAAAACCATGCACAAGGCCGATGTCTTCATCAAACTCAGTTTACAAACATATGGAAGCGCTTGGCAGCCTAAAGTTGATGACCGCTGACCAGTTACTGTGACGTCATGAAAACGTATTTCCGCGGTGTTGTGTTTAAATGGGTACCAGAGAATTTAATGGTGAGGGGGGGGGGGGGGTAACTCTGCAATGGACTAGCATCCCATCCAGGGAGGGTAGAAATACTCCTTCTCGCTTCATGCTATGGAAACCAGAGGTAAGCGCCAGCCTAATTAGGCTCATAAACAGACTTAACCCCTTTTTTCTCATTTGCAGAAACTGAATTAACATTTAAACCTCACCTAAAGTTGATTCAATAACGAAACATTCATGTTCAGTGTCAGCATTAGGGCCTCGAAACCACAGCAAAGAATCCAGTGCTTCTCTTCTTTTGTTCTTGGCCAGACACCACCGAGGAGTCTCTGGCATGGTAAACATCAGAATGATGAGAATTGTTGGTGGAACTGCGCCAGTAATAGCCAACCATTTCCAGTGACACTTCACACCTACAGCTTAAACGATTAAAAGGCCCAGCGTAACTGCAAGTTGATTGACAGAGCCAAGTGTTCCACGTAACAGTGCTGGCACAACCTCAGCAATGTAGACCTACCAAAAGAAAGATTGGAGGAAACTATTTTCACACAATCGTAACAATATCAGGGAAGTATTTCATGACAAATTTCAAATCGAAGTGCATTGCGCTGGGATAACTTACCTTCTTTTCCCTCATTCAATAACCAACATCATCTCTTGGGAAAGGAATGAAAGTATGGGTATCAAGAATAAAACGTTATGCTATTCCAGTATATTGTGATTTCATTGGTAATGTTTAGACAATTTTGTCACTGATTGAAGTTTCTGAGACTGTTAGGGCAGGTTATTTATACAAGGTCTAACCCAAACCACTGTTCTGCGCAATCAGTGGGCCTCAGGCTTATCTCTATAAGAAGGTTGATTTGATTAAATAAATGTTCTTCCATTATCAGCTCTCTCAGCCATCTGGCCACTGTTCACAAAAATAAATGATCAGATAAAAGGTTCAGCCTGATTGAGGATTGTTTAGGACGCAGGTTTGTTAAACAATGGCTAAACTTAGTTTACATATTGACTAGCCCTTGGTGTTTCCTCTCATTTATGGAGAACTATGGTATAAAATTTTAATGGTTGGCACTAGGACATGGGATAACAGAGGAGTTTATGATCCGCAGGTGTGAGACTTGACCCTTTTAACCCTAACATCAGTATGCATATTCTCCATACTGTTTTCTATGCATTTTCTCTGCTACTGACAAGGAGAGTTTGTTTAATGATCAGGAGGTTTGTTAGTTGATGATCATTTCCTTCACTCTTGTGACCTTATACTGTGTGATGCATGGCTGGTGTTGTGAGTAGTACTAAGATGTTGGTCTCCCTCAAAAGTCAAAGGGTCAAGAATTAACGACAGCACATGGAAAGAAACTTATAAACTTACTGGAACAGCAAGTGAGATTACACCACAACCCATTCCTGTGATAATCCCACCAGTGTAGAGCATGGCGACATCATGAGCAAAGCTGATGAGCAACCATCCCAGAACAAACGGTATGACGCACAACATAATGGTACTCTTGCGCCCAAACTTATCAATTGCCCATCCACCCAAGGGACTTCCAAAAATGGCTCCAATTGTGACCAGGGACTGCAGATACAAAAAGAACAGAACAAGAATTATAAAAAATAAGGGAATAGCCGAACCCCACTGGTCAGCAGCAGTTAACAATTCTCCTCTTCATATTCATGTGACGAGAAGAAAATAGAAATAACAAACCAAATTCTCCCAGCCAAAATCATTAGCAACGTATGGAGTACAATTCAGGGAATTGATATTTTTATCTAGGGGAGTGAGAGGGTTAAAAGAAATTTCAGAAAATACGCAATTTTGAAATAGCAGCTCACTTACGGGATTATTTAATTATTAGGAAACATCCACACATTAAAATATAAATAGTCTCATTTGATCCACGACTAAAAAACTTCGTCTGGGTAAAGAGTTGTGACTGATCGAAACTATGCAAACAGCAAAGGTCCGGTCTTCTGTTATAACGGATTCAGAAGAAGGCCCATAAGAGCACACGACATGTTCTACTGTGGGAAATTCGCAAGGGAGTGTTCCGGCACTTTATTAATCACAACACAGGCTCTAATACTCAGTTTTTACGAAAAAAAATTTCGATCGATGATTACGTTATCCACTAACTTATATAACTAACGAGATTCAAAGACATAAGGTAATTGTGATGATGACTTTTTTCATTCTTGACGCAAAACGGTGAAACTTTCAGTTTAACAAGTTTTTACCCGCACGGTGTTTGCCCAGTAACGATGAAACCTGATTTACAAAAAAAAAACATGATCGAACTTACCGAAAACCAGGATCCCTGATCTACAGATAAACGTACACCTGAAGAATTTTCAGCGTTTTGTAAATCTTCCAAAGCGGACGATGAATATCCCATACAGTATCCAAATGACAACGGCCCGAGAGCTGCGATAAGAGTAGCAAGGATTGCTCTGCCGACTCTGTCATTCTGTAGCATTTCGTTGGACTGAATGGACGTCGAAAATTCTTTTTCACGCTCAGCCATGATGTTGGATACTTCGATCGATGCTAATTCCTCGATTTATGGTGAAACAAGCAAGAAAGCCAGCTTATGGAGTCGGAGAATCCTACAATGTACTTGTGGAACCCCGGGGGGGTACTCGATATATTCCTGGGTAGGGAGGTGCGGCGCGGCCCTTCATACCCTGACCCTGTTTAAGACAAACATCGCTGATTTTCCTACCCTGTNNNNTGGCAAGGGCGTCTAGTGACTACTAGGCTGGAGGATGAGAGTTTGAGTGCCGATGGGTGTTTCTGGTGGCTCACAGAGTGGAAGAACTGCCCATCACACACAATTGCTGGACTCGTCGAGCTATACGAGCAGCTATTGCCAACGCGAGTATACACGAGTCAGAAGACCCACACAAGCGGGGAAGGCGAGGTGAGGTGCAGATTATGCGGCAAGGCTCCAGAGAGTGTGGCTCATATCTTGTCAGGATGCAGTGCGCTGGCCCAGAGCAAGTACCTCTCTAGACACGATGCAGCACTGAAGGTACTGTTTCACGAACTGTTGTATGATGAGGGATTTATAGACGAGATACTCCCCTGGTACTCACGCGACAAGCCGAAGCCCGTGTATGAGTCAGAGAATGTTAAAGCTTATTGAGATGTCCCTATATATGCTGATCAACAAGAGGTCAGATGCAATAGGGTGGATGCACGCATTGTAAATCATATTTGCAAGAGAGTCGTGACGCTGGAAATGAGCTGCCCGTGGGTTAACAATCGGAAAAGAAAGGATGAAGAGAAGACACTGAAGTACGGACCCCTTCGCTGGGAACTAAGGCAGCGGTTCCCAGGCTACGAGGTGAAGCAATATAACATCATTATGAATGCCCCCGGGGGGTGATCACGGGAGCTGGATGTCATGATGCGTGAGCTGGTGGGAGGCAGAAGCACAGACGTACTGCGAAAGATGCAGAGGGCAGTGCTCTCGGGCACGCTGAATATTACCCGGACTTTCAAGGTGGCAGTTTGAGTTCCTGTTTGAAGGAGGACCGTAAACAGAACGGAAAAGCTTTTTAGGATTAGTTAATGTACATTTATTTTTTACTCCATGGCTCATTACGGTTTTCACCCTGTGCTGCCTGATTAGAATGTAGCATTCAGTTGATTTTTCTGTGACATAATAGTAATAAAAATAATGATAATATGCTCTCTTCTTATAATTTAATAGCAAAATATTCACAGGGGCCCCTCACTGACCTAGAACATAGGTGTATCTATCACCAGTAATTGCCCTGAACAGAGATCAATTATTACATTATTGATGTTGCAAAAATATTCCTCAAAGCATCTATTACAAACAGCAAGTAAATTTTTTCCACTAACAATAAAACCAAACCAGAATGCAGTCAAGGAGAAGATGAGCAGAAATGCCAAAATTAAGTCTTTCCATGGGTAACGCTTCAAAAGGACCAAATTGGGCATTTCTTCTGTCATTTGATTTTTATGTCTTTGATTCTTCCTCAAATAGTATGAAGAAGGAACAATATGTCTATTGTAATGTTAAACTATTTTGAACCTTTACCCTCAAATAATAATGAAATAAATTCAAATTCAATACATCATTCATCTGCTTGGTGTAAAGTATGAAAGATTATAAAAATAATAATAAATAAATTTATTATAATATAATAAATTATTATAATTATTTATGGTACATTTATTATTTGTTATACATCATTCAGCTGCATGTAAGCCCAGATAGATAAATTGCCTGTTATTTAGAGGTTTCAAGAAAACTTTTGGCTTATTTAGAGTGTTTTGACAAGACTTAACACCCTTTGCACCCTAACATCAATATGCATATTTATTATCCAACTACACTCCATAGAGTACAAACAATGCCTGAGACGAGTACAAATATCACACATAGTATTTGTACTCCAGACAACCAGTTAGTCGGGTTTTCACGCATCACGCAAGTGATGAATTGAATTTATGTTATAAAAAAACTGGAAGACAGTTTTGATTAATTTTGTGACAACAAGGAGTCAAAATGGCTCATGAATATTGATCCAAGTTTATCACATAAATCGAACAAAGAAAAGCAGTAAGATGGCATGAAATTTCATCATTTATCGAAGAAAATATTTATATACTTCTGTCATGCACTGTCATCCATGAAAATCGCCAGCACTGAAAAAACAATTTGGTGTGTTGGATAATAAATCATAAAAAAATGTTTCTTTTTTCCCCCTAGGAACAAGGAATCAATGACAGCTAGAAAGAAGAAAAAACAAATCACATTATGAGGGTTTGAAGAATATTACAGCTGTTCCATGTCTTGACTTGTTAGTGAAGCCGTTCATATTCTGAATTTTTCTTGTCAAACATAGCTTCTATTTCTTCCAATGTTTTACCCTTTGTCTCCGGCATCAGAAGAAAAACAAAAATGAATGAAACAAAACAGAATCCTGCATAAAACCAGTATACACCTTGGTTGGAGAGAGCAACAACCATAGACTGGAATGTTTTTGTAACAACAAATGCCAATGTCCAGTTGGCCATAGTCGCAAAGCTGCTGGCTGGACCACGCGCTCGCAGGGGAAATATTTCTGACATCACAAGCCATGGAACAGGCCCCCATGCTAGGGCAAACATCAAGTTGAACAGAACAATACACAAAATAGATAACCAGGAAATCTTCTTGGCTGGAACAGAGTGACTGATTGAACCAAGCAAGGAAACTGTTTCACTTGCTGAGCCTTCACCTTCTGGAGGGATGTAGATCTCAAAATATACACCAAGTGCTGCCAGAGACACACACATTCCAATTGCTGTTGTTAAGAGAAGGATACGCCGCCCTGCTTTGTCCATAATTAAACATGCTAAAGCTGTACCAACAAACTGCACCAAGCCTACAGCAATGGAGACAAGCTTTCCATCTTTAAATCCTGCCACTGCAAAGATGTGGGCAGCATTAAAGAGAACTGCATTGACTCCACAAAATTGTTGAAACACCATTAACCCAAGACTAATTATCAAAGGTTTTGCTATCACAGGTGACAGCCAGTCTTGCAACTTTAACGTCTCTTGCCGCTCTGTCAAAAAAATGATTATACAAGTAGGCTTGTTAGTATAGAAGTATGCATCTTTTGCAAAAAGAAGCTTGAGTAGCCTTTCACAAGACATTCTATACTTGATTGCGTTAGTAAAATCAGGGGTACCATAATTGAAATTTAATTATATAGCTCTTTTAATCAAAGATATTTTGACAGTTTCTGATCTCATTTTCATTGTGTTGTCAGATCAGCTTGAAAATGTATACTCGGATTCTAAGGTGAAAACCAGCTAGGAAATGCTGTTAGCCACACATCAACAATGAAGCTCCCAATGTAGCCTTCTAAGAAACCTCCTTAACCCCTTTTAACCCCCATGAGGGACCAAGACAGAATTTCTCATTACAATATCAATACCATATCAACAAACAAGTGACGAGAATTAAGAAAATAATCAATTGGGCATTATTAGTTGATCCAATACCAAATTCTCCAAAATAACATCAGAGGAACTGTATGGAAAGACAGTAAAGAGATTACTTGTGAGATCTTGTGAGTGAAAGAGTTCATACTACAAAAAGCAATTAAACGGATAGCCTAAAAATAAATGAAGGTTGGAACAACTTTCTTATGTGCAGAAATATTTTAAACCTCACCTAAAGTTGATTCAATGATGAAACATTCATTTTCAATGTCAGCACTAGGGCCTCGAAACCACCGCAAAGAATCCAGTGCTTCTTTTCTTTTGTTCTTGGCAAGACACCAACGAGGAGTCTCTGGCATGGTAAACATCAGAATGATGAGAATTGTTGGTGGAACTGCACCAGTAATAGCCAACCATTTCCAGTGACACTTCACACCTACTGCATAGGCAGTTAAAAGACCCAGTGTAACTGCAAGTTGGTTGACAGAGCCAAGTGTTCCACGCAACCGTGCAGGTGCAATCTCAGCAATGTAGACCTACAAAAAGGAAGGAAGGAAACTATTGTCACACATTCCTAACAATATTAGGGAAGTATTTAGTAATAAGTGGGAGACGAGGAGGCCTCAAGGTTAGTGCTATTGAATCTGGATCGAGTGGTCTGGGTTGGAGCCCTGAGCGGGGACATTGTGTTGTGTTCTTGGGCAAGACACTCTACTCTCACAGTGCCTCTCTTCACCCAGGGGTGCAAATGGGTACCAGCAAATTTAATGCTGGGGGGGGTAATCCTGCGATGAATGAGCATCCCATCCAGGGAGGAGTGGAAATACTCCCAGTCTCAAGTCTCAAGTTAAGCATGCCTGGCCTAATGGGCCACTTGCCTTATAAATAGACTTATTTAGTGACAAATTTTAAATTGAAGTGTATTTGGCTGGGGTACCCTCCCTTCCAGGAAATGGACTTGATATGGATTGACAAAAGTCATAGAACACATCACTTGTAGTTCTTAAACAAATAAAACAAGGCATTACATCATCTTATGTCACGTAAGACTTGTCAAGACTATAAAAGTAAAAATATTAATTGAAAGTGATTGTCTTGATTTTTGCGTGTATGTGAAAGGGTTTCGAATATTATTTGTGATGCACGAAAAGGCCAAATCTTTTAACATGACTGAGTTTTGCAGAGGGAATCCTCTATACAATCAGTGGGCCTCAGGCATATCTCTAAAAGAAGGTTAATTTGATTAAATAAATGTCCTTCCTCTGTTAACTAGAAGCCCTCTTAACACTGTTCACAGAAATAAGATGAATGGTTCAGCTAAATTGAGCTAAATTTTGTTTAATAACTGGCCCCTAGTGTTTCCCCTCATTTATTGCATAACTATGGCATACAATTTTAAAGGTTGGTGCTGCAACATGGGATAACAAAGAAGTTTATGATCTGTAGGTGGCAGACTCAGCACTTGACACGCTAAGATCAGTATGTATATTCTCCATACTGTTCTCTATACAATTTCTCTGCTGCTGACAAGGAGAATTTGTTTAATGATCAGAAGCTTTGTTAGTTGATGATCATTTCCTTCACTCTTGTGGCCTTATACTGTGTGATGCACAGCTGGTTTTTTGAGTAGTACTAAAATGTTGGTCTCCCTCAAAAGTCAAAGGGTCAAGAATTAAAGATGGCACATGGAAAGAAACTGATAACCTTACTGGAACAGCAAGTGAGATTACACCACAACCCATTCCTGTGATAATCCGACCAGTGTAGAGCATGGCGACATTATGAGCAAAGCTGATGAGCAACCATCCCAGAACAAACGGTATGACGCACAACATGATAGTACTCTTACGACCAAACTTATCGATTGCCCATCCACCCAAGGGACTTCCGAAAATGGCTCCAATTGTGACCAGGGACTGTAGATACAAAAAGACAACATCAGGATCAAGGAAACAGATGAACCTCCATGGTGAGCAGCAATTAAACATTTCACCCCACAGAGTGACCCAAATGAAATCTCTCCTTCCAATTCTCCTCATCATATTCATGTGATGAGAAGAAAATGGAAACAACAAACCAAATTCGGCAAGAGTTCTATGTAACCCCATATATTAATTATGCATAAGTATGCATAGAGTGTTGCAAAGAAACCTTTCTATTTAGTCTTTACGAAATGAATGCATAATTAATGAATGGGGTTAGATGGAACTCTTTCCCCAAATTCTCCCAACCAAAATCATAAGTAATGTATGGAGTAAAATTCAAAGAATTGATATTTTGACCTAGGAAGTGAGAGGGTTAGAAAATAAGCAATTTTAAATAGCAGCTCACTTACATGGATCATTAAATTACTTGCAGTACATCCTCACATTGAAATGTGTCTCATTTGATCTAAAACTAAAAACTTTTTCTGGACTGAAGGGGTTGTGACTGATCGAAACCCTACAAAGAGCAAAGGTCAGCTTTTCTATTATAACAGACTCAAAAGAAAGCAAATTAGAAGCATATGACATGTTCTCCAGGGGAAAACTTGCTCGGGGCGTTCTCGTGACACTTTTTTGTCAATACGTGTTTGAAAATTTCATCGATCACAACTCTCTCTCTAAATTTTCAATCGTTGTTAAATTTTAATGAAAGAAAAATTTCGATCGATGATTGCCTTATATCCACTAACGTATCTAACTGTCGAGATTCAACGATATTAGATGATCTAATTGCGGTCTCGTTATTTTTCCTTCTCGATCCAAAACGGTAAAACTTTCTGCTAAACAAGTTTTTACCATGAGCTCACGCTGTTTGCCTACTAAAGATGACGCCAAACATACACAGTTCAACTTACAGAAAACCATGATCCTTGACCGCTGGTTAATTTAAAAGCAGAAGCACTACCGCCGTGGTCCACTAAATCTTCCAAAGCAGACGATGAGTATGCCAGACAGTATCCAAACGACAACGGGCCAAGAGCTGCAATAAAAGTGGCAAGAATTGTTCTACCAACTCTGTCGTTCGGTACCATTTCGTTGGACTGAATCGAGGTCGTAAATTCTTTTTCACGCTCAGCCATGTTGGATTCTTTGTTCGACGCTAATCCCTCAGATATGGAGAAACTTGCGATTAAGCTAGCTTAATGAGCTGTAGAATTGTGCAATTATCGAACCCACGAGAGGGGTAAAGGCGAGCGAAAACATGTGACTGAGTCCATGACGTAATTTCAAAGACAACACAAGCCATGTGATTTTTCAATAAAGGGGGTAATTTCTAAAGAAACTGTGGTGCTACTGGTAATATCAACTAAGTTGAAATACGTATGATGCACGATCCTCGCAGTAGAGAGCGCTATTTATGCAATAGCGAAAATCAGACCTGAAAAAAAACTCAGGCCTGTACGGGATTCGAACCACTGACATCTGCGATACTAGTGCAGCGCTCTACCAATTGAGCTAACAAGCCAACTGGGGGCAGGCCGTTAAGTTGATTCGTAATAAACCCGTGATGATTATTACGAATCCCAGTTGGCTTGTTAGCTCAATTGGTAGAGCGCTGCACTAGTATCGCAGAGGTCAGTGGTTCGAATCCCGTACAGGCCTGATTTTTTTTTCAGGTCTAATTTTCGCTATTGCATAAATAGCGCTCTCTACTGCGAGGATCGTGCATCATACGTATCTATAACTGCAGTTCAAAATATATAAACTTCATATATTCATCGTATCTTAGTTGAAATAGTAAATCGACAACCGTAAAAAGTTAAGAAGCTGATGTTTCGAGCCTTAGCCCTTCGTTAGAGCACTAATTTCGGCTTAGTTGATATTACCAAATTACCATGGGATTTTTCTCCCGTGTTGGGATTGTGTGAATCTGCATGAGAAATAAGAGCAGTGTCGGATCTTGGGGAAGGACACACCTCCCCCCCGCCCTCAAAGTCTAGATCCGCCCTCTAAAGGGCACTATGTGAAGATGTTTTGGTAATTTTTGGCTATGTTTTGCGCCAAAATGAGTCCAAACTCTAATCCCCAGTTCGAAACAGAAATCTTTCATTAGACAACTAAAATGCAAAATGGCTGGAGCTTTCACTTGGGTAGAAGAGCGCAGAACACGTCATCACAACGGAATGTGTTGCTATATGGTTTAAATATGGTCTATCGCTGTTTGGGAGTAACAATTTTTTTTACGAAAACTTACTGTAATGTAATGAAATGGAGACATGCCACTCTCTCTCATTTAATCCCTTCCCCTTTGCGTCATGCCTTAGTTGTCAGTACCGTAGACCACACGTCGACGCGGTGCGCACGCGTTGTATCACAAGACTTCACAAGACAAGACGATGGCTCCTTAAGAGGATATTTAGGGTCTTATCAACTAAGTTGATAATGTAAACTAGCCATCATAAAGAGTTTCAAGGCTGACGTTCGAGCGTTAGCCCTCGAAACGTGTCTGCCTTGAAACTCTTTACGGTGGCCAAATGACAACTGCCCTCTAAAACGCTCCTTTTCGCGGGCCAAACAGCAAAGTGCGGGCTGTAAATACCATTTGCCGCCCTGATATATATTTTATTAAATTAATTTGTACGATTTGGCCTTGTGTATCGATAATAATGATAATCACATGACTTTTGTCGGGCAAATAGTTTATTTGTGTTCTTCGCGGCATCATTTGCACCCTCGCTCCGCTCAGACTCAAATGATGTTACTCCGGCCACGAATAAACTATATGCCCTCCAATAGTCATGTGATTGTCCTATTATCAACTCAGTTGACAAAACCCAAACTACATTGTTGTTCCCATCGACGCAGCAACACAGTTTCTTTAGAAACGTGCTCCTTTATCCCTGAAAGGATAGTTCCTTATGTCTAAATGAATAGGATTGTCGGTGTGGCCTCCATGGCGGTAGTAAGCAAAACAAGGCGCGATTTCTTTTGCATTCCTCCGCACGTTTTGCGTTTTTGAGGATATGCCGTATTTATTTGATGAAGCGCTCTGGGCGCTTATTTAAAATTTGGACTTTCAGGGAGGGCGCTTATTCGAGGTGGGCGCTTATTTTCACCTGTTATTTTTTTTGGCGACTGAAGGACTTTCCGCCCACATGGACATTTCAGTTAAAACTTTGAGAAAAATTCCGACAT